TTTCGACTTAAGTTATAACAGTTAACAGTTTTGCTACCAGTGGTTGAATGTAAGCAACTTGGATATGCTATAAATGTAGGAGCTATAAATTTTATAGTATGTTGCTGCAACATTCTGGTTGTACAATCAACCGCAATGTCTTACTATAATAGCGGTTTTTGTTAAATTATGGCAGAAAGACTTTATACAAATTATTGTTGTGGACATACATACATACATATATATTTTATGATTACTTATGGCACAAACCATCTTGGAATACATATAGTATATCGTTAATTATAATTAAAATCGCAAATAAAAAATATTTTAACTAAACAATATTTTAAATTTTCAAAGTAAATTTTGTAGCATACCTAGGTTTTTTTTTTAGTTTAAATAGACATTTTATAGCATTACACCTTTATAAACCACTAAAATTTGTATATTTATTCATGAATATTTGAATAGCAATGAGTTCTTGGAAAAGTTCGTGGAAGTCTCTAAGAGCACGGCTAAAACCCGAATGGATAATTTAGCTATGATAAGAAAATGAGCAAAGTTCACAAAGAGTAGTGCGCTCAACCGTCCAGAAAAGCTTTCAAAATAAAACAGTGGTTCTTGAAAAGTTTCTGAAATTTACGTAAACAGGCTTTGTGAAAAAGCTTTCTCAGATTACCCAAAAAGTCTTGCACGAACTGCTATATTTCTTCTGTGGCTGCTTTTTAATAGGACACTTTCATTTATCAGCGGATAACATGGACAAAAAGTTTTGAGATTTATCAAAGTTATAATATTATATAATTCATACTAAAACCCACGACATCCTTGCAATGTGTGGCAAAAAAATACCGTACGTAAATTGTAAATAAGACGCAAATATATTTAATTATTCATCATTCATCATATTATTGTTCTGTCGCCTTCAAAGTAATCCCAACCAGATGTATTACACTTATGCCAACGATTTTGCCAGTCATCGAAACACTTTTCTAAAGCACTTTTTGCCATGGCCTTCAGCTTCTTCACCGAATTTTGTTTTTTCTCTTCAATGAACTGAAAATAGATTCCCCGCATCGGCAATTTCAGTTTAAGAAACAAGAAAAAATTACACCGAACCAAATCTGGTAAATTTGGTTATTGATCTATGGCATTTAATGCGTTTTTTGCTTTAAATTGCATCACAATCGTGGCTCGATGTGATGCTACTTTATCATCGTGTAAAATCCATTCAACAACTCCGGCAAATAGAACTCCTTAATGAACCTCTCACCCTCCGGGAAATTCATGATGCACCAAGTTACAAATATCGAAAACATCAAACAAACACGAAAGTATCTCCTTAATTTTTGAGCGGTTTTGGAGGCCTTTTTTTTGGTTTCAAGTCGTTTTTTCTCTCCGTTTCGATTATTTTTGACTTATTTGCATGTCAAACTCATCAACCCATGTCTCACCGGCAGTTATAATGCTCACCACTAATATGCGATCGAATCAAGCCTGCCCGAAGAGACTTCTTTAAGGTAATCTTTTTGAAAATTTAAAAACAATTCAACTTTATCGGAACGAGTCAAGAGCAAGAACGCATTTCATACCCAAAATATTCACCAAAATCATTCGAATGAACTCGCGAAAGATATTGAGCTCTCTTGCCATTTCTCTAACACTTGCCTGACGATTTTTAAGCACCATATCCTTCACCTTTTTAATATTTACCTCAGAGGTCGCAGGTCGTCTAACACGATCTCTCAACCGTCTTTGAAGGCACCCAGCACTTGCATTTTGTGATAAAACTGAACCAATGAATCACTGTAAAAGGCGTATGGTCCAACATTCGCAACGATTCCGCTTACTACATTCGGTTAGAAAAAAAAAATTGTGATAAACTTATTGTTCGATATTGTGATCCTTTGTAAAAATCGCAACGCACTACTGAGGTGTACCGACATAAGCAGCTGCTGTAAATAAACTGAATGGTTTGACTTAGTAATTGAGGACAGTTCTACCAAAATAAATTTCTTTTAGAATATCGATTACCTGTTTAACATTATTTTTTTCGGATTTCTTTTCTTAATGTATGTCACATATTCCAATGAATGAAGACGCAGTAATTACGGTATGAAATTGCGTTTATTACATTTTACATACTCTTAAAATAACTGCATTTTTTCCATAAACTGAATAATTGTCTGAGTTTTTGAAACGGCTGCCGATCTTCTGTTTCGAACAATGGGCAACAAGGGTGCTTCAATATACATATGTGTGTACAATATCATCACGGCTACGGAATCGATGAAAATGTTGCAGAAAGGTTTCAAAGTATCTACTTTATACATGTATCTAAGCTCTCAATGAAGGGAAGTCATCGAAAACTTGCCACTTGCGAGTGTCTATCCACCTCTATTTATGACAATAACTTCAAAATTATTTTGGTTAATATTTTGGATATAAAACGTATCAATGCGAGATTTGCAAAAGAAATGTCTGTCAACGTAACTGAAGGTTCTAAATTCAGCAAACGCGAAGTCGAAACTATATAACAATTTATGAGTGAGCGAAAATTATATAGTGTAGAAATTTAAATTTGTAACAGTACTCGAAATAAAAGATATTCAGTTATTGAATTCAACTCTTAATTCTTATCGAGCCTATCTTCAAATGATGTGACTGTAATAATCATCGAGAGAAAGCATATGATAAAGTATATACATATTGTAAGCATTATATAATTGCCCAGTGTTCGAAAAAATACTGATTACGCTAGTTTATCAGTATATGCATTGAGGGCTGAAAAAAAGAACGCATTGTTTCAGGAAACCTGGCGGATATACATATATTCCTGGCTTAGAGTTAACATTTTCGAGTTGGATTACAGAACGAATCTAATGATACAGTCGATCACTTTTACATACTTATGATTTTTTAAGTAACCTTAGAATAATAACTCATTTGCAATCAGTTTTTGAGTGCCACTTTAATGAACTATCGGCATGCTCTCTCTATAAAAATTTCACAAAAGAATTCGGAGCTCAAAGATGACTAACGTAGAGAAATGATAAATTACAGAGAGCTGTATTTTATATCTATTGTAGAATAATATACATTTCGACAATTGCCAAACAACTATAATAAAATCATTTCTGACATCTAACTAATTTCTAACTTTCCAATTTCAAAGCAGCCGACATAACAAGCATAAAGTCTGCGCATGCGTAAATCAGCGGCACTGAACTTCTTCACTGAATTGAAGTTGAAAGACTTTGTTGTTGTTGCTGCGTTGTATGTTGAGTTCTATACTTATGGTTTCCCCTGTAAAAATAAGATTAAAAAAACCAAATTAACTTCTGGCCTTTTTTCTGATGACCTAATCGATAAAATTGTTTTTGTTAACACCCAAGAACTTTACATTTTCTGTTTCGAACATCAAACCAATAATATCTGAATTCATGACTCCTACT